TTTTTTTTTTTTTTTTTTTTTTAAAGAAGGAAGTGGTATTACTTGTCTTTTAACTGTAACTGAAGTGCTTAGATTCTAATACTAGTATTTTTTGTGCTTTACATTCTGCATGTAACAGGCACATATCCCTGCACTGTTATAATCCTGAAAGTCTCGTTGAAGGTTTAAGACTCCAAGATTTCAGAAGGAAGATAAAGTATTTGCATCAGATTATTTTTAAGCAGATGTTATTTCTGAGCATGTGCTAAATTCATTTTTTTTTGCTGTTTCTGTGCAAGACAGCAGGAGGTGCTAACCCATTTCTATAACTTTCTGCACTTGAGAGCAGCATAGCAGTTTTGAAGTAAATTAGAAATATTTTTGATGCCCCAGTGATTCAACTCTCTCAAACAAAAGTGCCAAGAAATTCAGTACGTTCTTTGCATGTCTTCACCATGGAAGATGTCTGTGAGATTCCCTCACCAGATTCACTTCTCTCTAGGGACAAGTCAGTAGAGCTGACCCAAACTGAGGTTTCAATACATAAGGCCATAGCGGAAGTTGATAAACTAAACAGCAGCAAATCTAATGGCATTCACCCTAAGGCTGTAAAGGAGCTGAGATTGGAAACTACCTAATTTCTAACTGTAGTATGCATTCTATCAATACAAACAGCTTTGGTACCAGAGGACTGGAAGGTTGCCAAATGCAACGCCTATATTTTAAAAAGGCTATTGAGGGAGCACTGGGAACTATAGGCCAGTGATCTTAACTTCTGCTCCTCAAAAAATGGTAGAAACAATAGTAATAGTAATAGTTCAGCACATGGATGAATGTGACTTGCTGGGAAGGAATCAACCCCTCTCTTTGTCAAAAGAAAATCATGCTTTACCAGCCTCCTAGCATTCTTAGCGGATGTCAAGAAGCAGGTGGATTATGGCAATCCAATTAATATAGTATACAGCAATCCAATCAATATAGTATATCTGGACTTTCAAAAGCCTTTGACAAAGTTCCCCATCAGAGACTCTTAACTAAATTAGGTAGTCATGGGATTACAGGGAACATCCAAAGATAGAAAACAAAAAGCAAGTAAAAATGGTCAGTTTTCAGGATGGAAAGTAGTAAAAACAGCAGGATCCTACTAGGGACCAGTGCTGTTTAACATAGTCAAAAGTGACCTGGAAAAGGGGGCAAGTAGCAAAGTGGTCATATTTGCAGACAACACAGAATTATTCAAAGTGGTAAAGAGTGACCAAGGCAGACTATGAGGATCTAGAACAGAATCTGGCATAACTGAGAGAATGGGCAACAAACCTTGTTCTGCTTCCCACATCTTGACAGAGATATAGAAGAACTAGAAAAGGCATGGAGAAGGGCAACAAGGATTAGTAATATGGAGGGGTTTCCATATATATGAAGAGGGACTAAAGAGGCTGGACCTATGCAGATTGGAGAAGCTGGGGGGTGGGGACAAGATAAAGGTTTACAAAATATTAAGTGGCAACGATAAAGTAAATAGGGATTTACTATTTACAGTCTTTCACAACGCAAGAACTAGGGGTCACAAAATGAAACTAGTAAGCTTAAAACTAACACAAGGAAGTTCTTTTTCACATAGCGTGCAACTAGTGTGGAACTCACTGCCACCAGGTATTGTGGAAGCTGACTGTTTAGCTAGATTGAAAAGAGACTGGACAAATTCTTGGAGGAAAAGGAGCATCACTAGCTACTGACCACAGGAGTTAGGGTGCAGTCTCTGAATCAGAACTTCCTAGACCTTAAATGCTGGAGACTGCAAGTGAGAAGGAACAGTGGAAAAAAACCCTGGTCATACCTAATTCACTCTCCCTTTCAGCATCCGCTCTCTGCCACAGTGAGATACAGGATGCTGGGCTAGAGGGACCCATGATCTAACACAGTAAATAGCGATTCTAATGTTCTAATGCCTTTGTATGCAGTGTTCTGTCCAGTCACTTAAAAACACAGCAGGCTATATATACCAGAGCATGCCCATAATATACACTACCACATTTAATGGGGATAATGAAAATGCAGGGACTTTATCACAGTGCTTTACTGCGCCTGTAATGTTAAGCACGAGTGCTCTGTATAATAAAAAGGGCATTTCCCATTATAAATTTCTAATAAATGCATATTGCGGACTTGATGTAACAGATTGCTCACCTTCATCAAATGCCACATGCAGCTACAGCACAGCACTGCTGGCAACTCAAGCCAGTTAGAATGCAAAATATTCACACTAGCAGTCTTTCTTTAAATATGTTTAATATTAAAGTGACTCATTGCTAGATTCAAAGGACAGAATGCAGGGGAAAAGGAACAGTTAGTGCCACACACTCAAAAGACTGTGGAGGCAGAAGTACTGGCAGCAGGGTACAGCCCTTTTCTCAACTGGTAATAAATGTTGGCCACAAGTACACCCTCCTCTTCCAGAAGCTGCTAGTCCCTTTCCCTGTACTTGGTTATCACAGGTATAATCAATCCAGTGCCTGCTACTTATGCATTGATTCGTTACTCAAAGTCCTCCTCCAAGCAACCCTTCAGAGAAAGGTTAGCCTTTTTTTCCATAGTGTTCACAGTCACTGTGCACTGCTTGATTTGAAGCAGGTTAGGGACATCCAGTCCACTACAGAAAAGTTAACCTACAACAGCCCAAGGCATCTTCTCTTACATAGCTCAAAATATTATTAGAAGGTTGTAACATTATTCAACTCTTTATGCCAATACATAAATTTACCCTCTCTATTAGTTCTGTATTTATTTCCAAGAATACCCCTTATTTCATATTGTACAATGGCATAAATGACAGAGGTTATCGGATTCCAAGAGCCTTTATTAGTTTTGAGCATCATACATCTTTACCTCTTCTTTTCCTGGCTAAATAAGTCTTCACAATCTCTCAAACACCTCCTGCCACACCTTTAACTTTAATCTTAGTGCCCCTTCTAGTCTCTCCTGTATCTTTAAGATGAAATGACCAAGTTTGGGTGTTATCCAGAAGTACAGTTCAGAGACAACTCCAGGGTTTTACCAGCAAATGCAGGTAAGTGTGCATCAGATAACACATGTATGTACTTATTAATATTACAGGGGAGAGTCAGCAGTACCCCAGGCACTGGAACTGAACCCAGTACTTGGACATTCATTTAGGCTGTTAGTGTCTAGCCCTCTCTCCCCTGCTCAAGTCTTATTTTGGAAGGCCTCTCTCTACCCCTTCTGTAATGTTTCAAAGGCTTGTATGCATGTACAGCCAGCCCTTTCAAATGTTTCAAAGGCATCTGAAACACTTCCCTTGTCATTTCTGTCCACACCCAAAGACTGCAACTCTAAGGTCAAAAGCAGGTTTGAAGTCCCCCACCCCTCCTTACAGATGAGATGCATTTCACTTTATGTATAGCCCCTATTTTGCATTTTTATTTTTCATGCCTTTCCCTCCCTCCCCTCAACCTTACAGCAGAGGTCAGCAACCTACAATCGTGATGTGCCCAAATTTGGCCTGTGGTGGCAAAGGGCAATTAGTGGCACATAGCTTGACCTGACATTCCTCTTCTCTGCCCTGCACTGTACTGCTAAGCCCCAAGTCCTTACTGCTCTCCGCTGTCTTCCTCTGAAGCAGACACTGCTTACCATCGCTGATGAATTCAGCCCTGTCCACTGGGAGTCAAGGATACAGGCAGTTTGGGCATTATGGCAGGAAATGATGGCTGGCAGAAGCCAGGTTGTAAGTGGCCAGCCTGTTACTCTAAAAGACTGCTGACCCCTGCCTTGGATGACTGTTACGTGGTTCTGTACACTTCACCTCATTTTCTTCATACATGAGCTCTCTCAATACTACATAGTCTTTACTATAGACAAAAGTGAAGAAATTCTTGATTCAAAAGGCACTTTTCAGAGGAAAACTGTCACAATGAAAGCACGGCTTACTTCATCACATAAAACACTTGCTTCTCCACCTGCTCTCCAGTGGTATAAAGAGCCTACAGTCAAACCAGGGTTCATTTTGATACTAATGAATAAAAATGCTCAGAGATGCCCTATTGGATCCATAAATCTGTGAATATTATTGCTGCTGCTGCAGTTTACAGTTGCACTACCTACCTTAATTATAATACAAGAAGTTACAGAAAGCAAACTTGTGCAGGCTCTTTGTCATTGGATACACAGCAACTTATAAGACTTCTGCAATTTAATACAAAACACGGACACACCGTTGGGGGTGGGGGCCAGAACTCACAGGCCCCTCCCTTCCAAAGTGGTGCCCATCTTGCCAAGTCACAGAGCAAAGCTCCCATGGACTAGCTCTCCCCACTCTATATTATTTTCCCTTTGCGCTCAACTTCAACAGGAGGCAGTAAAGAGAACCTGGTGGTGGTTACAGCAGTTTGCTCAGACGTAGAGATGCGAGTTCAACCAATCCCCTGAAGTGGTGGGGGGCAGAACTACCATCTTCCTTTCCGTGAGCAAGTGCCCTTACCACCAGCTTAGCTGACAAGACACTAGGACCAAACTTTCAGTGAGATGCATGCACCTATGCTCCTCTCCAGGCAGAGCAGAACCAGAGTGTAAGCGTCCACAGGGAACCAACCCCTTCTGAGCCTTCTCAGGGCGAGCCGAGGTGTAGCCAGAGTGGGGCAGCTGAGGCCAAAGAGAATCTAAATGCATAATTAGCATTTAGAGTCATTTATGTGTTTCTGTTCGGACATGCAAATAGCACTTAGATTAGGGGCAGACAATTATTTGGGCCCAAGGGCCACTTAGGAAGTTCTGGTGAGCTATCACAGGCCAGTCAGCACCCCCCACCCCAGCTCACCAAAACTCCCCAAGGGGCTCTGCTCTGCGCTCAGCCAGGCAGCTGGGACGAGGCCACAGGTTAACAGGTAGCAGCATCTGGGAGCAGGACAGGTGGGCAGGGCCAGGACTGGAATCAGGATCATGGGGCAGTGACAGCACGGGGCTGGGCCCAGGGCAGAGCCACAATCCACTGCCTGCAAGCCCCTGTGATGGGTGCCAGTTCCATGAGCAGGCAGTGGGGAGTGGATTCTGGCTCTGCCCTGGACTCTGGCCTCGTGCTGTCACCACCCAACAATCCTAGGGTCTCCATGGACCAGCCAGGACCCACAGACAGGGTGCATGGCCAGGCAGGTGGGATAGGTCACACGCAGGCAGGATGAGGCCGCAGGCTAATAAGGAACAGTGTCCAGGAGCAGGAAAAGCAGGCAAAGCTGGGTCCTGGATCTTGGGGCTGTGACAGCACAGTGCCAGGGCCTGGGCCAGAGCCCCAATCTGCTCTCCGCACACTTCTGCTTGTGGACCAGCACCAGTCCTAGGGGCATGCAGGCAACAGATCACAGCTCTGCCCTGTGCCCTGGCCCTATGCTGTCACCATCTTGCAATCCCAGCCCCATCCACCCATCCCACTCCCAGACACCACTCCCAGCCTGGCCGCAGCCCCTCAGAAGTAGATGAAGTATGTATGTCCTGCCCGCCCACCCACCTGCTCTGTTGGGCAGCCCTGGCAATGGGTGCAGAGCAGACAGGCCAGGGTGCCTGGGCAGTACGGCTGGGTCTGGCAGCAGCAGCTGCCAGAACATGCCACTGTCGCAGGGACTGCTGGGAAGCCAGTCCAGCTGCCATGCTGCCCCAGGCCCACTGTGTACCTGGTGGCAGTGGGGCAGCTGCATGTGCCATTGCTTGGACTGCCCCCCTGTACCTAGGCCAAGTAGGACCAAAGGACCCGCTACAAGATAGACAAAAATCCCTTCGTGGGCTGGATCCAACTCACAGGCTGTATTTAGCCCACCCCTGACTTAGCTGCCCAAAGGGGGTGAGGAGAAGGGGCCTGAACTGGGCCAACATGGTTTAAGTGTGAACTTACTCTGAGCCCCTGAAAAAAAATTAATGTTGTAATGCAACTTTACCTTGGCCTTAAGAGCAAGTAACAAAAATGTAAAGAGGAACTTGTAAAGTAAAAGCATCCATTTCTTGAGGCTTTGTAGAAAGGAGAAAAAGGGAACTTGCCTGTAAACCTCATCTGGGTTCTTCTACTCAATTTAAAGATTGTGTGATTTGTGGAATTTGAACCACCAGGTCTACGCAATTCCAGTGTTGGTGGTAAAAGTACTGCTTATAAGAGCACATGAGGTGAACAAACGGGCACAATGCCACATAACCCTACAACCTTCGGCAAATCCTCAACATCATCTGAGGGTTCATCTGTAATCAATTTTTAAGCACCAGCATGGTGCTGGATCTATTTTAGGATAGCCATGTCCTTGCTGACAGAATTTATAAAGGGATTCTTAAGCTTCATATTTTGGGGTCTGTTTTTTCTTTGCATTTGTCCTTGCCGATTATCAACCTCAATATAATGAAAGAGCAGAAGTACATGAAGTATGTACGCTCTCTATCACCACCTTAAAAAAGTGCTCCCTTGAATCAGACTCTTGAGATCTGGATAGGCTTACATGCCTTGTCTGCTTATAACTTGCTACTTATCAGACTCCTCTACTACTGAAACAATGGCAGTAATTCTACACTAAATACCACAATAATACAAAACAACTAGTATTTAAGATTACGTTTGTGAAAAACATAATTCAGAGGAATCCCTTTTTTTTGTTCACTCAATACCAGCCTCCCACCTCCAGGTCTCACATGTCAATAAAAAAAATAGTTTTCCACCACTCAAGTTGTTAAGCATCTCGTTATCCAAGAAAATGTGACTGACAACATCACCCCTCTGAGAAGGGGAACTAAGACATCTCTATTTTCAGGTGCTATTAAAAAGAGGATAGAAAGACCCCTTTTTCTGCATCTCTAAAGGGCAGCTGGGGTCATTATGGCCCCTGAAGACTACCGGGCAGTGGTAGTATTAGGTATTAGGATTTGGGTAAACCCAGAGCAAACTTAAAAAGCCAGGTATGTCTGCCCATCTGCAAGGCCACGGCATGCAGGACAACCATAAGTAGAAAGAATAATTGTTGCCAACCCGTGATTACTTCAAAAGGGAAGTTCATGAACCCGCTTGGCTTCCGCATCATCTCAAACTAACCAGCTGGAGTTCGGAAGAGGTGGAAATCCTGTTCTACTTGGTTCTGGGCCCTGCGCAACCCTGTGTGCACATGGTATCTTGTGAGGAATGCTCCAGAAATGTCCTCCTTCTAAAGTGTTGACCACTGCCCATTACTCTCACCGAGAAGTGCCAATACAACTACAAATGCTCTTTGCTGCTGACTTTCTTCTGCGGCTAGAATTTGCAAGCCAAATCTCCTCTAATAACCTCTACTACTCACCCCAATCATACAGTATTCATGCTTTCCTGATTTCAGGCCCTACATTACATATAATTAAGGTCTTGTTAGCTCAGTTCTACAATCCCAGCAGACTGATGGGTTTTTTAACTTGTTTTATTAGAAGGTCTACAAGCTTTCACCCCAAGTATTGTGGCTTCCCTGCAACAACCAACTTTAACTTTCTTTCAATTTAAATATACTCATATTTTTAAATAATTAAAAAAAGACCAAAGAAAACCCCCCACATACACCTTGTAGATTAATTCCCTCTCCTCCCCCCGCACATTGCCAGCTGAATGAATCAGCAACATCTTTCAAGTGTGTGTGTGTGTGGGGGGGGGGAAGAGGAGGAGGAGGAGGAGATTCTGCCCCAAATACATTCATCATCCAACATTTACTGTTTCAGACTATAAGACTAAGATTTAGCCTGGCATTCATATTATCGTTTGCATTCTTCTCTTCCTCCAATTTTTACACTTAGGAGCTGAACTTTCACACAGATGACAACTTATTGATATCACCATTCCCCAGAACTCTCTACATGTAGCAAAAACATGTGCACACTGTAGTCTGGGGCTGCCTGATCCAGGAGACCCAGAGCAGTTCCAGATTAGACCTACCAACCAAATGCATGCAGAGAAAACAAGCTAAAGATAAAGACGTTTATCCCACACATCTGCATTCTGCTGTGCATCCACACAACACTTTCAAAATTAGTGTTACACTGATTTGTTATTTATCTGTGAGTGGGTGAGACAGAGAGAATGCGATACAGACGGTGTGACAATGTTCATCCCAGCACAGAAAAGAACGCCATCTTTACAACCCAATGACACCATCTTCTTAATCCAACACTGAATTTAGCTCAAGTTTAAGACAATTTAGCTGCAGATAAAAAGCAGGTGTGAGCTGCCTGTGCTAATCAAGAAAGATTCATCTCCAAACAGATATGTCAGCACTGATTGGATGCCACAAAACCCTAACGTCAAAACACTTGTCAAGATTGTCAGAAGATGTAGCAATGCTGTTTCAAATAACCTTGATGCACAAGTCCTGTATGTATCCGGTGGGCTTACAGCACTTTAACCCACACACTTTCATGCCAATTTTACCTTCCTCATACATTTCTTCTAATAAATAGGCTTCTGCTCTGTCTTTTAGGGCATTCACATTGGATGGTTCCAGCTGCAGAATTTCTGTGCAAGCTTTTATGGCTTCAGCAGACTGCTGATTCTGAAGAGGGAAAGAAAAGGAGGTTGATGTATGTTGTATTTAACTATATTCTTAGGTGAGAGGAAAAAATATGGGGGGGGGGTGTGAGAGAGAGAGAGAGAGAGACAGAGATATTACCTTAGAGAAACAGTGGCAGATTCTTTCTTTGGCTTGAGTAGCATAAACTGGGACATCTGGCTCAGTTTTCATTACAGATTCATATTTACTGATGGCATCTGTGTACCTGTTTTAATAGAAAAAAACCCAAAACATTCTAAAGCAGTATTATCAGATTTGTATCAGTTTTCCCCCAGCTATGAAATGTATGTACTGATACAGTTTTGCTATGCTGAAGAAATGTCATCAGGGATCTTGTCCACAGAATTACAAGTCTCTCTCAAAATGCATCCCCCACCAAGTAGCCTCAGGGACTTTGTCTAAGCTGAAAAGAGACAGAAAATTCTTCAGAAATTAAAGAGTTATATTGCCTACCACCTCTATGTGGGCGCAAGCCTGAAAGAGACTTGTCTGGCTGACTTGTTCTGCCCACTTCTGTGCAACCAATTTGTTGTTATAAGCCCTTCCCCTGACCAAAGGCACTACTCAGCACAGGTAAGAGTTTCCCTACTTTCTCAGACTTCAAGTAGGTCCAGGTTTGGGGCAATTTTGGGCTGGTGTGCCTTATATAGTCCAGTTTTTCAATACATTAGAACTGGAACACGTTAGAATAATGTATTCCTAGGTTAGGAGAAACATCTATTCCTAACCTGGAACAGATAGATAGGTAGTGAAATCATTATTACTGGATGTAAGTGCAGATTTGACTGACACCTGGCTGGAATAGTTGCTTTAAGCAGGAGGTTGGACTAAACCTTCTGAAGTCTGTTCTAGCCCTATTTTCTATGGTTTTAAGGAAAATGGGTACTGGGCCTGGAGCTCCTTATGTCTGGTAGAACAGGGAGACAACCCACCCCTTTCCCTGCCCTGCTACAAGTGGAAAGCAGGTCCCAGGAACAAGGCTGCAGTCAGGGAATACAGAGCATCTGATGGCAAACCTCCATCGGATACATCAAATTACAACTTTAAGTAAGTAGGCTCTAGCTAAACTATGTTCCTAGCATCTCTCTTCCCATAGTGTCAAGAAAATACTCCTTTAGATGTTGTTGTGCCTAAAGAGACTCCAGAACAAGGAGCATGGCACAGATAATTCCAGTGAAACAAATTTAAAAATAATCTTTGATAGATAAATAAAAACATTCATTCCTAAACGGGTGAGCAGTTGCCTACATTTTGCAGCACAAACACTAAATCACCTATACCAGGAGTGGTGGCCAACCTGCAAAATGCATGTCGCAAGTGACACAGGCAGCTGCTGTGTGAGATGCATAAGCACTGGGCACTCAGTAGACAGACACTAGAATGGAGATGGGAAGGAGAACACTCCATAGAGCAAAACAAGGGCAGGGCACTGGAGAGGTGTCAGGTGTCACAGCCAAGAGCCAAGCTAAACCCACAAATTCAGAGCTTTGGATTCTTACCATATACAACCGAGACTGTTTTGGTGCTAGGGAAGGGTTAAATCAGCTCTTAGCTGTGAAACCTGCTCCTGCGGCATCATCCTGACCCCACAATCTACCTGGGCCGAGGCTCAAGATCCCCACCTCCATTCTGGCACCAAGGTCCAACTATCAGGTACACCTCTGGGCAGCAGGGATTAGAGCAGCACTCAAGGAATGTACTGAGCATGAGTTATGGCACACCTGCCAAAAAAGGTTGGCCACAACTTGATTGTCAGCTCCTTCAGTACTTAAGCACAGTAGAGATGGATTAAGGATAATCCCACTCCTCTGTCCCATAGCAAGAAGTTACTATATATAGTATTATGTATATAAATATATATGCAAGACAGCAACATGATGAAGGACAATTCTAAAAGTAGACGTATAACAGTTTACAAAGCTCAAATACTTACTGTTTCTTCAAGAGTAATGATAAACCATAACATTCATAGGCAGCAGAATTTTTATTTGCAAATATGCTGTGATCTCCACATTTAGATGCTGATACATTAAAATGTGTTATACAAGAGATAAACACTAAAACTAACATCACTGACACTCCAATTTACTAGTGAGATGAATAACCACGTCAAGCTTTCCATAGAGAACATGCCATAAGCAGATAATTACTCAAAAAGCTTACTGATTTCCTTTTTTATTTATCAGCAACTTTACTGATAATGAAACTTTATTTCCTTTGTCACTTTCACAGTACTGTAAACTAAAATGGTGTTCTTAAACATGCATCCCCATCAATAATAGGCAACACACACTTGAGAATAAAATCTAGATTACTTTTAATACTCAAAAAAATCTTACAACAGTTCATTTTAAATCTAGTTAAAACAAAGGTGGCTTTTCATTTATCATTTTACATAGCCTCTAGCAAAGCTGTGGCTATGTACTTGCCAATAAAACACACCAAACTGAAATGAGGCAAGCAGGAAGAATTTAGAGAATAAAAATCATCACCTCAAGAGTTGGGATGGGTGGCAGAAACTCCTAGTAGATCAGCCTATACAAAGTTTGCAGAACTGATTTTTATTAAATCACAAGATAAGACACCATAAAGACCGCTGACCTCACCTTATCTGTTTTACAATGGGAGCAAAACAAAAAGTCAGTAAGACCATAGTGACTAGGGAGGCATATGGGCGAGATGGAGCAACCAGGAAGGCCTGACTGCTGCTGAGGGTACACAATTTAGCAGTTATTTAAATGAAATCTGGTGGCCAGGCTCAGAATTCTAGCCCAAATAATGCAAAATAGATACAAAAAGGCAGCCTCCAAACCTGTGATTTTAATTTGTTTAGAATGAGTCATAACACAGCAGTATTAGACTAGCACTTACCTGCCCTCTTTTATAAGTTCTTCTGCTGATACGATCTGCTTATTAAGTTTTTTTACTTGTTTATAGTGAGAAAAACATGGTTTATGGTCTTGGTCAAGTTTCAGGCACTCTCGGACTTCACTTTTCACATAGGAAAAAGAAACAGTATAAGATTTCATATGGGAAACAGAACACAAATTTTAACAGCAATTTAAATAACAATAGATTTGCTGCACTGCGTTCTCTTTCCTGCACTCAAGACAGTATTACCCATGTGTGAAATGTAAAAAGGGAAACCCTCCTGAATTTACAGCTTTTTTATTACTTTACATTGCCAGAAATTTATACTCAACATAAAGTTGCACTTATGAAACCAATCTGTTATTCTACAGTGCATACTATTGCTTTGTCCAGCACTTATGATGGCTGTTTGAGACAACTAACTGTATCCACGATAACTTATTTTCTAGTATGTTCCTAACTTTCACGCTATGCCAAGGCTCCTTGATATAAAGGCATCATGCTCTTTCTGAACTAGGGCTTCAGCTAGTTTGAAGATTCTTCCCTTGGAGGAAGATGCATACCAATGACTGTTTTTTTTCAAAGCAACTGAAACTGTCTGGAACTTCTTTATTCTCAATCATCAGGTCCCACCTGTTTCTGTACATTCATGGGTTTTTCACCTAAAGACTGCCCATGAAACATTCCCTTCAAATACAGTCTTCAAATACCTCAGAGGCAATTAGAGAGAGAATGGAGATGGGCTCTTCTCTATGGCTGTAGGGGAAAGGGCTAGGAGCAATGGCCTCAATCTGCAGCAGGAAAAATTAGGTCAGCATTTATGAGGAACCTCTTGACTATGAAGGTGGACAAGTACTGGACAGGCTATTTAGAGAAACTGTGTACTCTCCATCCTTGGAAGTTTAAAGAACTGGTTACATAGAGACATGTTTGAGATAATTTAGTCAAGGATGGCCCTGCCTTGAGCAGAAAGTTGGACTAGATGACCACTTGAGGTCCCCCCCTCCAGCCCTATAATCCTATGATCTGTGAGAGCCCTTTGTAGCTTTTTTGCAGGAACCCTTTCCCCCATACTGGGATCAGTCCATTCTTGGCCAACTGGCCACTCTCTTCCTCCATTCTTGTTATTTCATATTTGTCTGTTTTGGCTCATTTGACAGACTTTTTCTAAGAGGCTGGAACTCTTTACCCACAGCACTGCAACAGATGCCATACTGTATTAAGCTAATTATTAGTGTGTATGTTATACTGAGTCCCAGACTCCATGCCTTGTGCCAAACACTGATAAGAGAATAAGAACAGAAGAATACAAGCTAATGAGCATTTCTACTTGGTCACTACATTGGCCACTAATGCTGCTGCATTTTACAATAGCATGGAGGCTGGCACAGTTTGCTAAGTGCTTTGTTTTTTAGTTTTTTTACTATTAAAACAAACAGTAAAGGCTTACCTGAGTGACAGCTCATGGTCCCCCAGATGATAGTATATTGTGCTGATTTTATAGAAGGCTTCAGTATTGTCACTCTTCAGTTTGGTAGCAGCCTTTAAGTCATTAATGGCTTTGCCCAGTTCTCCTTCCTTCATATAGCATTCAGCTCGAAGCTCCCGCAGCTCAGCATCCCAAAGACAAACCTTAAGAAACCAAAATGAAAGCAGAGATGCTTATTACAAATGCACATCTTTTAGCAGAGAAATGGAAAGCAAGCCTGTTACAAATCTAATGTGTAACCAAGCAGATGAGCCTTCTTTTTAATTCACCTCCCTGAGAAGTGGGGGGAGGGGGAGGGGGTCAGTCTTCAACCTCAGGAGGGAAGACTGGAATCCCATGAAAAATAACTTCTTTCCAATACTATAAAGGGTAAGAATTATGAGGGCAGAGGCCTCTGTTGTTTAAAAGGGTACCTGAAGGGATCTCGTACAGGAACATCACCTATTGGAGGTCAGGCCTTAACACTATTGAAAATGCAGATTTAAGCCAAAACAAGTAACTATATATTTCAATTTTAAATGGGTTTCCAGACTATAAAATGAGTTATCCTACTATAGTAAATATATTTATCTATTCATGTTTACATACATTAAAGGATTAGATTTCATTCTAAATAATTCTTTTTTCCAAATTCCCATGCTTCAAACTGTCTTACAAGAACTTGTTTAAAAATAAATAAATAAATAAATAAATCAATCAATCAATCAAATGACTGAGCTTAATAGATCTACCTTCAAATTACCACACATTTTTTCTCATTTGAACAGAGGACTTGAGAAGGCAGAATTTAAGCCTTAATTGTTATACTGACAAAATTAAGAGCTTAGTGGGAGCATGAAGCCAGTAACATTTCCATTGAAAAAGATAAACCACCATAGTTCATCTATGATTGTTCTAAAATAGGATTTGGTAGAATATACAGTATTTGAAGTTGCATTATAAGTATACATACATTGTATGCACTTTGACACAGCTATTTTAAATATTTAATGAAAAAAAGTAAACCAGCACATGCAGACTATGTACAGCCTGGTTTTAATGAGTGCATATGCTCAATTGCTGATTTAAAGCTGTTTTTCCCCCCCACAGGGAATTGAAGGGGATTCATTTATACTCAGTTAGGTTTGTGTTTTATATTAAACACTAACCAACCAAAACAGGGAAAAACCCAAAGCACTATTCTACCTCACAGCCAGGGGAGTCCTTTTCCCACTCCATTAAATGTCCCTCCCAAGCTCATACTGCCCTCTCTCACATGAAGAGCATCAATGTGCTCCTGATACTGGGAGCTGTGATCAGCTGAAGCCTGCCCACATGTGCAGTTTAAGGTGCAATGGGAACCAGCCAAAGTTATTAAACATACCCTGCATAATAATTTTGGAGCTTATTCCTTGTTTTATCACATCATCAAATGCATTAATGCATAGCCAGGGTGCTACTTAAGATGTGATTAACTGGTTAATCATATTTTACATGTAATGTCTGCAAGAAGCGTAAGTGTCAGTTTTGGTGGCATCCAGCCCAGGGTGGCCTGCAGTCCCTATAAAGCCTGCGAGCTTGTTCAGCCCCTCCCCTTTCCAGCTCAGGTGGCCATGTGGTGCCTGCTCTGGACCCACGTACTGTTATGGATCTCAGAGCAACATTAACTTTGTCACATGTATTGCTTTTATTGCTGCAATGGTCTTAACATAGCCAACTATAACTCTGTCCTGTGGTATATGATTCCCAAAACATCTATCTTCACTTTGCATATAAAAGTCTTAGCCGTAAGTTTTCCTTTAACAGGTTTTTCCATGTTATCTTAAAGAAAAGGACAGAAACAAGATGCTGGTATATTTGAATCACATATATTTAAATGTGCAATCTAATACTTGCAAAGTTAAATGCCACTGATGGGGCGCAGCTACGCATTGCCCTACAGTGATGTAGCAATGTGCTACATCACCACAGGGCACACTACAGTGACATAGTTATCACATGGGTCTATACGTGATTGGCAGCTATGTCGCCATAGCAGTACACTCCCCAATTTTAGCACACCGCTATGACAATATAGTGGTGAAATTTAACCGTGCAGTACAGGCAGTTACTGCACCATTCTTTAGTACTTCCAAAGGCAAGTCCTAAAGTATGGCACTGTAGCAATATTGCTGTACAGTGACACGTAGACATGCCCATTCTGTTGAAGCTTTCTGTCCTTCCCAGCTTAGAAGTTTGGCATCCCTTGAAGAAGACAACTATTTACTAAAACTCCATTCAGCTCAAGAACAATAAAAGAGGCCATTCAAATTTAAATCACATTCACCAGAAGGTGAACCTAATCATACAGTTTCCCATTTCAGGGTCCTATAAGGATACTACTGTGACAACTGCTCTCAGCTCCCACCAACTCCAAAGAGAGTCAAGAGCACTTGTTAATCACTTGCTCAATCCTACTGGTGTTTTCACATCAACATGAGACTTAGAAGTTCTTTGTTAAAGGGAATATGCATATAAAAACCACAGACCCTCATTGCTCTTTGGCTATATTTTTCCACGTCGCACTTACTGCAAGAATCTCATCAAGGAGAGTAATGGCAGCAGCGTAATCCTCCTGGCGGTACTCAGAAAGGGCTTGTGAATGCAGTCGCTGCAGCTCATCGGATTTCATCAGCCGAGACCGGGCTTCCTGTTCCTCATTATCACTGGGATTAGATTTGAGCTGCAAGTATTAATGAGCAGAGAGTGAATCATGGGGTCTGAGGCTCTTTCTTTGTTCCATTAACCCTCCTATACCATGGAGGACAAACTACAGATGCTGCCGAAGTGGAACGAGTCTTAAAAATTCCCTTGGAAATTCTTCTAATTGGATGAAAGTAGAAAGTTCTTTGCTGCTGCCGTAACCCAAAGAACTCCAGTTTTTTTTTCTCCCAGGCTGACAATTCATCACTTTGACACTTCATTCCCATTAACCTGGGCCCTCCTGGAAGTAATATACCCCTTCAATTGTACCCTGGTTAATCCATCTCTCCCCATTAGGCAGCTACCAAGCACGGATGCTTCAAGGGCAGGAGAGGATGTACCCACTGACTGATTAGACGCCACACTGCAAATCAGGTGTGAATTCATTAATACAAAGTTCAGCACTGTGGCTACTGTTCTCATTGAAATGCAGTTTTCACACATCTTCCTAGAAAGGTTGGCCATGGCATTAGATACAGATGCTTTAGACTTGGAGGATGGGGAGCAGGATCATCTGAGAACTCATGGAGTTTAGAAGTCAAGAAAAGTCAAACTTCAAATAAATCTTTTACAGACAAAAACTTACAGCCATAAATGCTAAAGATACCCTCTCTGCCACCAGAGGACACCAAGTACAGATTCTCCTAGACGTCACTGAAAGCATCCCCTTTTAAAACCCAGGAAGCTGTCACTGAACAAAGTAATGGTTTCAGCTTAGCAGCAGGCAGGACCCAAAATCAAAACAACAAGAGCAGCAGGGGGATGAAAAGAACCGACTTAAACAGGGAGGCCACCTAGATGTAATCCCATTTCCCATGACATGCAGCACAGTATGCTTCAGCCTAGACAAGACCCCAGCCTCAGCATTAAGCAAATTCCATTTGGGGCTGGAGAAAAGGCCCCATTAATGTTTTGCCCCTGTATCTGCATCATCCAAAGCCCTTCCAAAGATTCAGCAAAGCAAGATTCAGGAGTGCAATCTAGCCTCATTCAAATGGATGGTAATACTCCAGCATTACCAAAATAATGTTTAGCATGTGCTGTCAGAAGCACAGGACAGGAAATGCCCCTGCTATTTGACAAGTACATTGCACAACGTAAGTCATATGCAAACAAACTTTATTTTTACATAACTTAGGATTTTTCACCTACACTACACTGACTGGGGGGGGGGGGGG